TGCAATGCAGAAGCTTCTTATAAAACTAGTTGGGATGCTATCCGTCTCCATCTGCCTGACTCTGGAGCTCCTCCCAAGGCCCAGCAGAAGCTCTCTGGACAGACGGCCTCTTACCCTGGTCACCTAATGAACCAACACTTTCCTTTTCTGTTCCACGGACTGAACGATGTCCAGGGTACACTCAGTACTGATGGCCACTGACGGCCACTCTCCAGCCCACTGGGCACAGCTGCTCCCGCCCGTTGCACTTCCCAAGGTCGCCGTGTCTCTTCCCAAACCTGTTCACACTGCTTACATAAGCACAATTAATTTTTAGTGAACTTGGAGGCACGATTGTTAAAAAAAGAGTTTGCTGAGTCTATGAGAACAAAGTAGAATAATTTAGAGTCAACAACGCTGAGCTTTTGAAAAGGCTGTTAAGTTAGGTGTGCGTGAAATGGCCAGAAGACTGGGCGGAGCGGGGTCCATAGAATGTGAACCTCGCGTGGAGGCTGCTTCCTTCTCAAGCGTCTGTGTCCTCAGCTGGTTCAGAGGAACCAAAAGATGCAATTTCGGTGGGGTTTCCTAGGGACAACAAGGGGCACTCCAAATCAGGTGATCCGGCCACAGGGGAAATGCCTTAGCCCAACACCTACGTCACATAAGCCTTGCTAGGATTTCCTGACCTTTTCAATTAACCGTCCAGCTTCTGGCCTTGAGCTTACGGGGTAAGACAGTTTCTGCTGAGCATCTGATTATTTATCTGCACATAACAATTTCCCTCCAATTATTAGTACCAGGCCACCTCCCTATTTCTGGCTACACATACATTAGTGGGTGGGTACAGTAGCAAACACCAGGCCAGAAGTCAGAAAGCACAGATTAAGGCTTGCGTCACCTTACCTCTTTGTGCCTCTGTTTCCTCAACTATGAAGTGTCCGTGCTGGGGGTAAGGACAGAGGGTGAGGGGTGGGTGGTAAGAGGAGCTGGACTCTATAATCTTCCAGGTCTCTTCTGACTCTTTAAAATGCCATTCAATATCAATTCATTGTTAATATTAAGAGTTAGTAATTTCCTTGAGTAAAGTGCAGTTATTTAGAAATTTTAGTTACAAAGAATATATATGATGAAAATAAGACTTAAGTTACCAACATAACATTGATCAATTAATATCTTTATAATCCAAAAAGAGGAAAAGAGTCTCCAAGATGTTACCTCTCAAATGTTTAGTCTTTCTATAATAAAAACTTTTGCAAGAAACTATTCTTATTAATTTACTATTCCAAAGTAGATTACGAAGCTGCAGTTCTGGGAATAGTATGCAATATAAAATTGTTTAAATAATTTCCTGTATTAATTTTGCAACTACAAAGCTACAATTACTGATTGGAGAAAATTATTCAGTTCTGAATAATTATAAAGTTCAAAATTATAAAATTACAAAATTATTCAATGCTGAAATTATAAAGTTCAGGAAATCTTTAGCTCTGCAGCAGAACTAAAATGAAAAACTAAGCTCAAGACTCAATTTAAGTCACAAGTGAATTTCTTTAACAGCCATGAGGCTTGACAAAAATATGTGTTTCTAGATAAAGAGAAAATTGTTAAGAGCACTGCCTGACGTATTGTTTTGATATTTCTTTCATTTTAATGATGAGAATGGTGCCTGAATTACTCTTTGTGCCACAAAAATTACACAACTAAACTCAGATACAGAGATAAGAGATCTCGATCTAAGACGTATCTTTTAAAACACCCATTTGCCTTTTGTGAACGAGAAAAGGTGGCAGCTCGACGTTCAGTTTATATGCTGCCTTGGAGCCGATATCAATTTCAAGTTTTCCTTTATGATTCAGCTATTCCAAGAGTCTGAAAATATTTCATTAAAAATTAATGTGTTACCCACACAAACGGCAAATATTGAGAAATAAGAATATAAATACAAAATAATAAAAATAGCAAGTGTGCTGACACTGAGGCG